GAGCAGACCCACGCCTGGTGCAGCTTCTCCTCTCGCACAGTGTGTAAACACCTTTGTGCAAGCAAATTGTGTACCTGTGGCTGTGCTAACCTGAGCAGAGTGCTTCATTTTATTGCTGTTCCTACTGTTAATCCTCTCAAACGGCTTTTTGTTTAAATAAAACATGTTCTCGAGCAATACACAGATGGTTGCATTTGCAAGTGGATCCAAAGGTTTATAAATAGTCCTCAGATTATTAATTCTTCATTTATTGCTTTTCATCTACTCTGCAATCAGCATTTAATTTTGCAAAGGAAATGGTTCCAGAGTAACCAAAGTTTGTTTACATAAATGTCACACGCTTCCTGACAATTTTCTAATGTTTGGTAGTTCTGAAGTTAGAACCTTGTTGTAGGAAACAACTCAGCGTGACCCATCTGCTAGGCTCGCTACGGGACTGTGGACAGGGGACTGTTTTCTTTGCCGGGGTGAGCCTACTGACCTGCTTTTGGAGGGTCCGTGGCAGTGCATGGCTCCCCTGTAACGGCTGGGCAGGGGGGCAGCAGATGTCCCCCTGGGCACCCACACTGTCCCAGGGAGCAACCGCGGCTGGGTGGGTCTTCACTCTTGATCCACCGCCAGCTATAGAAGCGCTAGCCTTGCAGGTGACAGTGCAAAATTTAACTGTCAGATGCACGAGAGACCAATTAGCAGAGTAGGTCTCGCCCTGGCAAAGTGCCGAAATTGGTACTGCGTGTTCTGAAGGTGTACCCTGCTCCGACCGCCTAACGTCTCAGGTAGGTCAGCTCCGGCAGCTGCCCTTAGGCTTTGGTAGCATGGATAATTTTGCCTACGTAAGAACATAAACACTTGGCATTATGTTTGGGGGGAGGAAGGACAGTCAAAGATCATTTTGCTTCCATAGAAGTCATAGGTGCACATGGTATGGCCGATGGGCGTGGGAAAGTCAGGAATCTCCTTGCTGCAGGCGAGTGGTTCCTCTGCAAGGTCCTTGTCCAGCCCAGTGCTCCGCACCACCACGTCATCCGGCACCACCGGCCCAAACCGTGGCTTGAAGGAGTCATCCACTGCCGTGTCCATGATCACAACAGGCCCGGGCTCCATCCCTGTGGAAACAAAGGCTGAGGCTGATCCAGAGCTCATAGCAATTGTGACCTGCTGCAAAACTCCAGCATGACAGAAAAATTGCTATAGATGTGTGTGTGACGGGGCTTGTTCTTTTTAGTGAGTAAAACAGATGTGAGAGAATAATTGAAATTCATGCAGTAGCACAGATGTGGGAGTAAAATGTACAGAATCAGCACACGATGAGTGACTGTGGAAACATGCTGAGCGAGAGCGTTTTAGTTGCCTCTGGCTTGCAGGGGTCATGCCTCACCACCAGCTTGGGCAGGTGCGAGCAGCACCACTGCCCCAGCCGGGCGTCCCACCACTGCGGAGGACTACAGGCACCGGGACAGCCGGGAGGATCTCGGAGCACGAGCGTGACTTCCAGTCAAGCGTTTTCTGTTTGAAAAGTGATACCCAATGGTGAATTGAAGGCCTTTGTTCGTTATGAAAATGTGCAGTGTGCTAAGCCAGTTGCTAGAAGTTTGCTGGGTTTTAATCCAAAACAAAATAGCATGTTGTTTGATATTTGGGGACCTGACAAAATCCTACAGCTCGTAATTACATGACCTATTGCTGAGAATGTTTTTTTATTAATATCCTTTTTGCCTAGAAGAAAGACCGTGGATAGCTTATCTAAGCCTCCGGAAGTACCGATGCGTGTAATAGTAACGTCTCGGCGTTTTGCATGGCGCAGCGGTTTGATTAGTTGATGAAACATGATAGAAATGGAAGGGATGCCCATCCCGTGCTGTTGGGAGGAGAGAAAAGAAAAATGTCATTTCCCGTGATGCTGCGGCAGGTGACAGGTATGAGACTGCAACAAGCCCAGGGTTACCCTGTGGCCTCTTTCCGCTGATGAGGCCAACAGTGATTTTTGAGGGGGGTAGAGGCATCGCAGGGTCTGTGCAGCCTGTCCGGGTGAAGCATCTAACCCTCTTCTCCTCCCCTTGATGCTTTTAAGGCTTTTAGCAATAGAGCTGGCGTTCATCCCTGGGGACCGGTATGTCAGGTACACAGGTGAAGCTTCTCCTTCAAGAAAGGTCTCTCCACAAATGCACCCTGACAGCTGAATGTTCCAAGACTTTCCCCTTGTGTTGCCTGTCCTGACGCCACGTGCTGACTTCCATTCTTTGTCGTGTCCTGCTCGTGCTCTTGGAGCGGTGAATTGCAGTGAGGACAACCCGAGCCTCTGCTTCTCCGGCTGCCTCCCAGCCCATCCTCGCCCCGTGCCGGAGCACCTCCACCCGCGTCGCTGGGCACGAAGGGTGGCGGATGGGTTTGTGCACCTTGGTGAGGACTGGTTTCAGGGTCAGGTGTTTGCTGCATGACGCCTCACGCCTTGCAGGCCTCCTGTCCTGCTTCCTGGCTGGCATCACCCGCCCCGGTGTCCCTCCGTCCCAGCGCCTGCCTGGCTGCCTGCAGGCTCTCCCCTCTGCTGCCACCAGCCCCTTCCCCGTCCTCTGCCACGGCCCAGGCGGCCCCACTGCCCCATCTCCGCTGCTGCTCCTCTGGGCCGGCAGATGTTTGCAAATCTCCAGCTCTTGAGGCTGCAGCCGCTTTCTGCCCAGCGCTCCCTCGTGTGATCATCTTAGTTTTCTGCTCCATTGCTCAGCCGCCATCCTTTTCTCAGCTTTACCTTTAAAAACAAAAGGTGTTTGGTGGTGTGGGGCTTGGTTTTTCCCCCTGGAAAATGCCTCACATTGTTCGTTTTTGCTATCGTGTTCGAAAACCTGAAGGAAGCATATGTAAAGAAGCACAGCTAATTTAACATATGCAGTTTTCGTATTGCTTTGTCTCTTTTCATTTGGCTGTGAGACTGATGGTCTATTAGGTTTGTATCATGTTTTAAATATGAAAACGTTTTGCATGTTGTTATTCTGGAACATCAGTCTGACTTATTTGCCAATGCCTAAAAAATTTATTCTCATTGTAAATATTCAAAGCAGGAAACTGTGTTCCTGCCTCCGGTATGTTTGAGTTCATTTGTGTTTCTAAGCAACTTACAAAAATGTGATGTTGGCAGCTGCTCTGCGCAGTGTTTTGGGGGAGGCTCACTGCGTGCTCTGCCCTGCGTCCCTTCGCAGGGACGAGCCCGGGGGTCGGTGGCTTCTGCATTGGCACAAACCTGGTGCGTGGCCAAGAGCTCAGCGTTGGCTTTTCTTCTAGCTGTGTCACAACTGCTGCCAGCTTGGGGAATAGCAAAACTTGTGGGTTTTTTTCCCCTTGGATCCTGTCAGATTGATTCCCTCAGGCTTTTCTGTCAGTCAGGTTTGGTTTGGTTTTGTCAGAGGGACTAAACGTGAGCTCCGCTGTGTGAATGACACCGTCTCCTGTGAATCAGATTTAAGACGAATCTTGTGCCTGAAGACATGATGGCAGGACCGAGCCTTGGGGTGTGAGCACCCACCAGCACAGGCCCACATTTGCTTTTTCCTCTGTGCAGTGCTAAAAATTCCACTGCTTTTAAAGAATAATTAATAACAAAACAAGATTTTTACTTCAGAGCTCATGTCAGTGTAACACTTCCAGCAATATTTTATAGTTCATGCGTGGTGGGAAGTGGTCTTTGCCTCTTGAATTGCCAGACTGCTGAGCTGAGCAAAATACACGCGTGTTCATTTTTTAATATGATGGTTTTTAAACTGAACATGTAAGGTGCCGAGAAATGTCATCCAAACGAAGAAGCTTTACCATGGCTGAATGGTTGTACTGGTGGTAATGGTGGAAAACTGAAAAGAGGGAAAAAAATCTGCTGGTGGGTGTTGCGGGAAGCGGAGGCATGGGAGGCAGAGGTCGTGCCGGCCACCCTCCCTGCCGCCGGGGGAGACAGGGCTCCTGCACCAGCCCGCTGCGGGACCACGCCGGCAGCAGCAGACCCCGGGGCAGGGGCTGCGGTGAATGCCCAAGATGGAGAACGCGTGCGGTGCGGCATGGCGCGGTACTTACGCTGATGGAGAGCGCCAGCCCGGTGCGTGGCATACCGGGCCATCCCCACGCAGATGTCTGCCAGGTCCTGCCCGCGCCCATCAGTCCCAGCTCCTTGTGCATGAACTGGCCAAATGCCCTCATCCTGTTTGGGCTGCCACTAATGCAGACAAACTGGATGTAAAATACCAACGTGTTAGTACATTTTAGCTAAAATAGGTACCAAGGCTCAGTCGTAA